GAGAGTGTTTGGTTGCCCTCTCCCTGACAGTGTTCAAGGCCAGGCTGGATGGGGCTTGGAGCAACCTGGTCTAGTGGAAGGTGTCCCTGCCCATGGCAGGGGGTTGGACTGATCTGAAAAGGTACCTTCTGACCCAAAACCTTCCATGATTCTATGAAGTCGAGATCATCATTGGTCTGTTACGGTGGCTCTCACTTTGGTGGACCTAATCTTTGTCCTTTCTTCTAAAGCTTGGTGGAAAGCTGGCTTACTAGCTTTGCAAGGAATGTGGGGGGGAGGGAGGTAAGGAGAAGGAATCGTGTTTTCTAAAGAAATATAAACACAAACCCCCTGTCCCTCTAAGATGGGTATTCCTTCTGGTTTTGTATCTAGCTGTAACAAAGCTTAAAGGAAGCCTACTAATCACCCAGAAATAGATGAGCTGCAGGAAGTCCATAAATCACTACTAGATTTAACTCTGAGATGTAATGAAACTTTCTAATAACTGGAGTTGAATTAGAGTGATCAAGAAATTATGAAGGCACACTCCCTCCATTAGACATGCATGAACTGACAAGTTAATAGAGGCAAACAGCCCAAAGACACAAATTAAAGACTTCTGTGGAATGGGGCTGATGACTAAGCAGTTCACGAGCAGGTTAGTTTGTGACCACAGCAGGAGTGTTAGCCAAGTGGATTTTATGGCCAGCTGGGACAAACATTGGCTGTTTCTCATGCGATAGCTGTGAAGCTACAAGTACTTGTGTTGGCCTTCAAATCCTGCTTGGAAATTTGTTTAACAAGTAGAGTACCTGAAAGTTGTGCCTGTGCAGCACTGTACAGCCCAGAAGATATCAAAATGCTTTATAAGCTGAATTTCTGAGAGAAAGGAAGGCAAGGAAATGCAGCCGCTGCTCTGGCAGCCAAACGCCTCAGCCTGCGTGATGCAGTCTCTTATTGTGTCTGGCACCCGCATCAAACCTGCTGAGCTGCGGGTTTCTGTAGTGTGGATGTCAAAGGAAGGACAGAAATGTACCTGTTTGCTTCTGGGGTTGTGCTGAGATAGGTAACCCTGGCCCGGGATCTGTAAAGCAATAGGTAACCTCTCCAGCCCAGTGACCGGATGAAGAGGGTTTGGTATCTGTGCTAGCTGTCTTTGCAAGTGGGCGTTTAACTGAAAAACTCCAGTGAGTGTTAGTGTAGGAACTGTCCAGCCTTTCGGGGTGGTTACTTCAAGTAGAGGGCTGAGGAAGCTCGCTGCTGATAAAGAGCAGCTTTTGTGTTCAGCCTACCTCAAGCAGTATGTGGTCTCTGAAGCCAGCAGTGGGGTGCTGAGCCTGGCTCAGCACTGACCTGGTGTGCTGACTCAGCAGCTGCACTGACTTGCTGAGTCCTAGGAAATTCTCTGCCCGTGGACTGTTGTGGCTCAAGGACATCTGACTTTGATCACCAAAAGAACTCCTCCTGCAAGGAATGCTGGATTGTCGTGCCTAATTGTGGAACCCTGGCTGTGTCCCTTGCATAGGTGCCATGCCAAACTAGTCGGAAACCTAACATAATCAGAGTTTGCTTAATTTCTGCGTCTCCCGTGCGATCTCTCCAAGTCTGTTCCTGCCCAGTTTCACTCAGTGTGGGTAAGAGGTGGTCACAGACACCCAGTTTCTGTTTGATCTCTGTTCTACATTGGAAGTTTGTATTTCAGAGCTGTTTCTTTGGGCTGCCTTATATAATATGGGCAGCATATCTCTCAGACCTATATTTTTTTGAGCTTACGACACTGTTCTTTTTTTCTACTAAGATAAAAAGCTTCTGTTGTTCTTGTATTAACTGAGTGACTACACCAGCTGAAATACTTAACTATACTTGAAAAGCACCTAGTTTTGACTCTTTTTATTCTCTTGCAGGTTACCTGTTGCAATCAGTCCTGGGCACAACAGTGATCCCGTTATGTGGGCCTGGTGAAATGGAAAACTGCACGACAGCACTAAGTGAGTATATTGCACAGCTCTCATTGTAAATAACAAGTCTTTGGTTCCCATCTTCCTGGCGGCCTCAGTGAGATGCTCTTGGAAACCATTTTTCTGTTGAGCAACATTGCCAACATCCTGCAAAGCGCTTAGCATTGTTGAACAAAACCCATTTTTTAGCCTGCATTTCCTTTAATATTTCTTTCTCAGCAGAAGAGCTCTGTCTCAGGTGAGAACTCTGCTGTAAAAGCAGAAATAGCTTCTGTGGAACTCCCAAAGGGAAAATCAATATAACTCTGGCCTGGGAAAATCCTCTCCCTGTTCTCTACGCTCGCCTGCTTTAATGCCTACTGCCTTGGAGGTCTCTTGGTAGCGAGACTGTTAGTCGTACTTGTGAAGCTTTTACACTGTTTGAGAAATACAATGGGGAAATAAAACTGCTGAGATGCTAATGAAATCTGCTTGCAGTCCAGACAGAGAACAGTCCACGTGTGGCTCAAGTTGGGATAACTAGATGCAAGCCTGAAATGAAAGACTACTGCTTCCACGGACAGTGCGTGTACATAGTGGACTTGGATGAGCACTATTGCAGGTACGGACAGGGCGCCATGCGTCCTGCAGACCTCCCTGAGGTGGGCTTTGAGATGAACCGTGCGTGGCCCTTGATCTTGATGCTGTTGACACTTAGCTGGAACATCAATCCAGCAAAGCATTTAAACGCTCACAAAAACTTGAAGGAGAGCAGTACATCTATAATACACCTCATCCGTATTTAAGCAAGTGTTAAGCACATGTGCTGGCTCCAGTGAAACACGGGTGAGAGTCTTAGACACCTGAAATTAGTCACCAACCCAGCTTAAACTTGGGGCACTTGTTGTGATGTGCTTCCCTGTTCATCTGTATTTACAGTAGTGTGAGATCCAGATCTCAGGCAAAGCAACAAGGTCTCTCCTTTGATTCAGCCTACAAAATAAAGACCGTCTAGGCATTTTTAAGGGTAGTTCTTGTTTACTTGAAGAATTTGCAGCCGTTTCTAGGACCACACGGGCTTGAGTTAGATCAGTTCAAATTGCTTGTCCCAGAGAAAAGAGCAGGCCAGCAGTATAGCATGCTTTGTGGACTGCTACAGTGTAACCCCACAGTGATGTCTCTAATTTTGCCTCTCTTATCCTTAGGTGTGACGTAGGCTTCTCTGGTGTCCGATGTGTGCATTCAGAACTTGTCAGACAACCCCTCAGTAAGGAGTATGTGGCACTGACAGTTATCGCAGTTCTGCTTTTCCTCATCGCTGTCTCTATTGCAAGCTACTACATCTGCAGAAGGTAAGAAAGTTTTTCTTCGTGGCTTGGGAAGGCGAGTCAGCTGTATGTGTAGTAAGATGTCTGCTGAGTACCCCCAGGAAGACTGGGTTACCTACACTCACTTGACTGCGTGGAGACCATTTGATATACAGACCTGCTAGCCTGCACTCAGTGAAGTGTTCAAAAAAGGAAGGATACTGACTGCATCGCATAACCCAAATTGCAGGCTGGGCAACGGCACCCTCAGATGCCTTTTAACCCTGATGGAGGACTGTATAGGTTAGCTCGCATCTGTCTTAGAGGGTGTGTTAGGGTGAAGGAGATTGCAGACAGGGAATAGGAAAATTGTTAGTTCCTTTTCTTGGTAATGCCATTTCCCCAGTCATCAGGAACTGGAGAGCAGCTAGCTTAATACTAGTTAATTTGCTTATCTGCAAAAATCTTACTGGGTTGACTGTGATATCATGAGCATTGCCTTATCAGCTTATCAGCTTTACCATGGAGGACAGTAGTCTTCTCCATTAACAGACCCACA